TACAGGTTACAAGGATAACAAATGTTAGCTCTGGTACAAGCCCCGATGTATTTACATCAACAACAAGTTACTAATTTAATAGATAAAGACATCTAGCTTTTAGTACTATAGAATAAAGCTCTGAAAGACCTCTATAACGGTCCTAATATTGCTATAGATGGCTTCTTTTATCTTGTAGATAGATAGCTTTAAAGTCTACTGTGGCAAAGATCGGTATATCTAGGACCACTTTTGCACATTTGTTATCCTTGTAACCTGTACCCTCAGTACGTAGTAGGTGGGTGATGCTTTTGATGTGTACTTCCAGCCATATCTCTGCTCCAACTTCCCTTATTCATATTTTAATGCACAGGATCCAATCATGGCAGGATCCATCCATGTGAAGGGGATGCTACTGTATGTGCCTAGGTAGGTAGGTATGACATGACGTAGCTCTGGCCTCCACAAAGATAGGTACGACAGGGAATAGGCTTGACAGTAGGCGGTTAAAGATGGAGGCCCGAGCATACTGCACGGCCTGGCAGGCGAGGAGTAGGCACTTAGGTATCCGTAGATCTAACAAAGAAAAAAAAAGTGTTTGTATTTACCTAAGTAGGTAGGGAGATATCTTTCAAGAGGCATTGTTTACCTAGGTAAAGAATAGATTTTATCTTGGTGACATAGACAAAAGAATTGTCTTGGCCCAGACAGCCTCCATTAGGTACTATCTATCTAGGTAGGTGATTGATTTAGTGCCGTGTCGTGTCGGGTGCATCTACGACGTCATGGCTCAAGTTGGTTGTTGGCAGGATAGAAGCGGGGAAAGCCGAGCGAACTTCTTGTATGTAGGGACCTACTGTAGGTACGGTACAGCTTCAACGCACGAGCGACAAGCAGAAAATGAGAAGGGAAAAGAAAGAGAGAGAAGAGGTACTAAAATCCAATAAAGAGCCAGCACTGTACAATACCAGCATTTACTACCTAGATTTGTCATTATAGTATCGCATCATGTTTGCATAAATAAGAGGATTTTGTTCTTACAGCGCCTTAGTACATTCCTATGTCCCTGGCATCAGAGAGTTTTTCAGGCCAATCTACTGGGTGCACTGTCCCGTCGATTGTACCGGGCTGTCTTACTTCTGAGAATCATAGCTAGAAATGCTTTGAACTATACACTGAAAAGCTTGGTAGGAAAGCAAACGCTAATTATCTAGATTTAAGCACACAGCATTATTAAATTCCTTAATATCTCAATGCTAATACAATAGAGGGAAAACCTTTGTTTTAAGGAAGGTTAAACAAGATATACCACCTACTTGATACCTTGATTTATGTGAGGTTTTGATACTGCCTGCATATCCTATAATACCCATATTTATCTGTTTATATAGATCTATATAGAACTCACCCTCTTAGCTACCTTCGTTCGCATTTTTACAAATTAGGCAGGTCGTTGAGATGTGACGGGCATAAGAACCGGCCATCTTCAGACCGTTCGAGACAATATGCAGCCCTAGCAGCGATTCGGCCGAGTGCCGGCTTTTGCCCGGGGATGTGACCGTGAAAGTCACGGACTTCCACTGGTAGTCTGTGGGCTAGAGTATTTCTCAGAACAATAGGCAGGCGCCTTTTCCGTGATTTTGCCTACATCATGAATCAATCAACTTGCCAGTTGTTGTATGCTGCCCCTGTGGCCTGTTGGTAATCCAGGCAAACAGATCCAGTACGTACGCAGTCTCAGGAGGTCAGACCTGAATGAAATTGAATGGAAGTCTATCAGACCGAAACCTCTTATCAGGGTTTAATGAACCATCAATGCATAAGAAAATATGCCGTCCGTGCAAGAAACTCTGATTGATGAACGGGCACCTAGGTACGTAAGCAAGTGAACAGACAAGGCTGATATAGGTAGATGAATGGAAGCAAGACACAATCGGACCCCCGTTTCCTTGGTAGCGAGTCATCAACGTGAAGCTTGCTGCTGCTATGGATGACTTTGTGAAGAACATCAAAGAATGGGAAATCTTACGCCATCGCATCATCAGACTACTGTACTTACTGCCCCTTTCCTCACGTTGCCAAACCTTGATCCTTTGAAATTTCCCCTCTTGACGTGAGTTGTGATGATAGCTGACAGGGAGAACCCCTGCTGTCCTGGACCACTCAGAATGTCACATATCACCGTATCACGCATCCGTACAGTCAGCGCATTAATCTGCAGCGAGCATGAGAGCTTTCACGGTTCGGTTTCACAGACCTGCCTTTGATCTAGACACGATAGTGGGCTGGTTGAACCTCATAGTGTCCACTGCCTGGAGCGGTACCGCCCCCAAGATCCGAGCGCGTTGAACGTGCGCCGGCTGCATTTGACAAGGCTGGCTGAAGATCTCCACCGAGATGAGATATGATCGATGTTTGTGCTAGTGCCGTGGACGGTATTAATTAATCTCCACACGCATCATGCTGTCAACTCAATGTCTTCGATAATGTCAATAAGAGTATACATATATATGTGTAAATAGATGTCAAATTGCACTGGAGGTGGAATCTGAAAAGCAGTGTGCGATCGTCAGGTACTGTCACACCAAAATCAAGTGGAGGTTATGTACCTAGGTAGGTGCTGGTGGCTACTAGTACCTTAGTACAGTACCTAGGTAGGTAGGAACTACTGTACCTACCTACCCCCATCTAAATGAGCGAGTGGAGCGGGTACTGAGGCCGTAGTCTAAAGACGCTGTAATGGATGCTACCTCTACTTAGCTCCTTTTGTAGGCTGGGCCCACTACTTGGGCTGTGCTACCATTCTTGTCCAAGGAGCCATCAATTTACGGCTTCTGCTTCCGTTTCCGTCTCGACCATACATCCATAGTACTTAGATTCTTACCCTTGTTTGCCTGCTCAATCTCTAATCTTTCAAACGTGCCGACTACCTAATCTACTGGACGCCACGCCACAACCAATTGTCAATACTTGAAAAAGGAAAGAAAAGAAGAAAAAGGCCGACGGCACATATCGTCGTGCCGGCTGCCTTAGTAGTTTTCATCTTGGTATAGTAATGCTGTTTTTCTTGTCCTCTATGGCCCTTCTCCTTCTACTTTTACTTTTACTTCCAACCTACCTACCTATCTTATCTACCCACTCCGCCCATCCCATCTTGGCCATCCCTGTGCTTGACTCGGCTTTCTGTTGCAATTGCAGACATAGAACTCACTTGCATGTGCCGAGTAAGCAGGTAAGGTATGTACTATACCTACATACTGTACCTGCCTACCTGCTTACCTATCTACACCTACCTAGGCACGTTGATAGGTGAATTAGTACCTGGGTATCTCTCCATCCTGTCCCGTTCCCTCGAGTAGGTAGGAACTATAGATAGGTACTTACTTAGGTAGGTAAGTACTGAGGTAGTGCCTACCCCGCGAAATTCACATCAGACATCTAATATTCTTCCCCTTCTCTCAGTTTCCGTTCCTTGGGCTGTGGGCCACCCCTACACTCCTCCCCTCCCCTCCCCTTCCCTCCCTTACCTTTTCCATCTCCCTATCGGAAACACAACGGGCTTGTCTCATAATATCTGTTGCCCATTGTGACCCAGTTAACCAACATCAGCTGAACGCCCATTTAGGACAAGGCAGGGCAAGGCAGGGCAAGACGCGGATACTTCTTTTCAAGGCCTACACGCCAGCGGTAGTTTCAAGGCGGCTATCAGTGAATCCACCGAGCTCAATCCTTCATATATGAACGGTTGAGACGGCGGGCGCAACCAGTACAACACAAGCAAGACAAGGCCACTATACGCGATTCGTCGTGGGTTTTGCTCGTGATGGGCTTTGCTTCTTGAGCTGGCTCCTCAACCTCACCTACCTACTTACTCTCTTATTGTCTTTCGCCCGCTACGCATCTGTACGCCAATCTTGCCATGATCCATTGTCCTAGCATTTCTACCTGTCCTCCGTTGCCCCTATTTATTTTAACCTGGATAGCAGACCCCATCCTGGACCACCGCCAATAAGCTTACACAACACTTTGTTAATTGTTATACAACCTGCAACTGTTATATCGCTGGTTGGAATTTCTACGTAGGTACTGGCTGGGATCGGAAATCCGGAAGACCAGCAGTTCCACGGATTCCGTCTCCGTGTTGTCAAATACACTCTTCAATAGTCACTGGAACCCGGCAGTCGGCACAGAGCGCGGCTGTGACACAAGGCTGGTCGACGGTCATGGTATACTGTGGTAAAGCCTCTCAGGGCTGCCAAAATTGTCGAGTCCGGCGTATCAAGGTGAGTATTGAAACACACATAGGCCTTTCGGGCGACCCCATCTCGTTCTACTCTCTAAGACAACTGCATTTCATTGGTGTCCATGGCTAACTGCTGTGTCCTCGGAAGTGTGACAAGATAAAGCCGGAATGTTCGCAATGCATCCGAGTTGGAAAAAGGTGTCCTGGTTATCGTGACCAGTTGTCTCTCATGTTTCGTGATGAGAGCAGCAAAGTGATACAGAAGGCACATGCTCAATGGGGTGTTGGCGACTCCACCTCCGAAGGGCTCTCAACACAAACTTCATCAAGCTCTCTTGCTTCATCTTATGCATCCAGTGCTTCCACAAATTCATCTTCCTCCTCTGTATCATTACACACACACACGGCTCCTTCCTCCGCCATCTCCAACACATCGCTCAAAGCCGGGTGGCCCACATCCCCTACTTCCACAACGAGCCAGCAAGCTTCGCCTCCTACCCCTTCGTCTCCCACTTCATCCTCCGTCCTTTCCATATCTTCGGTCGCCAATGCAACACATCCTATCCATATCCGGCCGTCGCGGCTCCCGACACCCATCGACTCGAGCCTCGAGGACCAGGGCGTTCAGTTCTATGTTAATCGCTACCTCATTGGCCACCCCGATGAGCCCAGATATCCTGGCGACTTGACAAGTACTGAATGGCTGTGGGACCCAGCCGTACAGGATATTATGGCTGCCGTTGGCCTCGCCAGCCTTTCGAATCTTAGGGGTGACACCAGTATGATGACAATGGCCCGCCAAAAATACGGACTAGCCCTACGTCAAACTGGTCGTCTTATACAGGCTTCGAGCATGCCGGATTTTGAGGTTACAATGCGCTCCGTCGTCATGCTTGCCATGTTCGAGGTGTGTGCCCTTACCCCCGATGCTGTTCAATATGCCCCCATGGTCAGCACGATTTCTGCTTTCCCCTTCAGTCACTCGACGTTGACGAGATATATATACTAACATCTTTATAGCTCGTCAAAGGGGCACATCAAGGTATTGCTCACGTGCACGCGCACGTTATGGGTGGCGTTGCTTTATTGCGAAGGTGGTTACCTATGCCGGCAGCGGCCTTTCTTGGTGTCCGTGCCATGGTACAGATGTCTTACACTCTTGTATGCTGCGTTGCCTTTCCTCTGTAATTGCATGTTGACTCACATTTTGCACAGTTCATCCCCGCATACATCTCAGCAACGCCTCTGCCGGACCCTCTGTATGAGTGGGTTGCGTTTGCCAAAACTCTCCTCGAACCTGCAGATCATCCAGCTACGGATCTCGGTCCACTGATCGGTCGATTCATCCAGGTATCAACTTATATCAAGACCCATGTTTTGACTGATGGCCGGACACACGCTGCTGCGACCCTGAAACAGTTATTCGACATCGATGTGTCGTTCCTGGACTGGGAGCGCAAGCTTGGGCCGACATGGCGATTCCGCACAGAGAAGGCTAAACATCTTCCATCATCTGTGGTATTTGAGGGTGTGTATCATGTCTATTATGATATGTTTGTCGCCCGAATGTGGGGCCACTACCGATGGGCACGCACTCTTCTGAATCAAACTATCATCGAGTTCATCAAGAAATACCCAAAGTCCAGTACACCATTGATGTCACTGGCCGAGTACGGACACCGGTATGAGATTATAAGAGAGCTAGCCCGTGATACTCTTGTGAGTACCCCGACACATTGGCGCCACCCTCTCCTTACCGACAAATCTGCCATGCCAGTTGAGAGGATGGGGGGTGCGGGCTCGGGCTCAGCTGGTCTTCCTGTTCTTTTATTCCATCTTCAAGTAGCTGCATGTGCCCCGGGAGTGTCAAGGACATATTGGGATTGGGCATTGGCGGTGATGGAATGTATCTGGAGTGACATGGGCATTCTACATGCCAAGTCCATGATGGAAACCATGAGGGCGTACCGAGACTCCCTCCTGATAAAAGAGGAAGCAGCCGAAAGCAACGCAGGCTAATGTATTCGCCAAGAAGCAACATGGCTATGAACGGAGCCGGGAGAGATCTGGATTAGTATGAAAGCATCTTGTTCGGTGTTAATTGGTCGGCTACATTTGCGTATGCATTGGCATCAGTAACGGCATTGGGTTTTATTGTTTGGTGCAAGGTGGGAAAATTCATATCGGAGTGTTTGGGTTATAGGCAGTAGGATATGAGCACAGCCTTTGGAGCATCAAATTTCGCAGTTTTGGTTAATGTCCCGAGGACTTGATGCCGTTACCTCCGTTTCGATCATGTTGGGCACAGGAATTCCTGATCGGTACGGTTAGATGGATGTTAGATCACCACTTGTTCTTTTATGCTGTGGCCAACAAAATCCAAATTCTGAGAAAGGTACCGCATGGGACTTTTCCCTCGTCATAATGCTCCTTAAAGAGGCATGTCGTTGCGATTACAGTATCTTAGTACTGGACCTCAAGGTAAGGTGCCTAGGTACCTACATTGGTAGATACCTACTAGGAGGTACCTACTTTCCAGAGCGCAAGCCAGCTGCAGACGGGGCCCATGGGATAACCTAACTCGTTATCACCCAGACAGGTTCCCGATTACCTAGCTATCTGGGCAAGATATTGAAAAAGATATTATCAGAGAATAGATTTTAATGCTGTCGGGTAAAGCCTAATCCTTTTTGTTATCAAATCATGGTAGTATCTTCACGTGTACCATGCATGATGTATATTACCCCAGATCTATCCAATATTATCTGGGTAGTAGGTACGTACCTAGGTACCCAACATGTTGGGCGGAGAAACAGGGCAGTCAGTGTTGGTGGGCCGACTCTTACCTACTACCTATTAAGCCAGTGGAGGCACGTGTATGTGTGTCACTGGCAGCCGCAGTCGTAAGGCAGTTACCTCCATACCTACTAGGTACCTACCTACCTATGGGCAGGCTGTACCTCAACTACACTTTGAACTCCACCATAACATCCGTAGATGTAGGCTTGTTACGACGACCATCCCTTGCGCTTTCAAACAATTCATGGTTATCGCACAAAGTCGAAAGTCATCACCGGCGCAAACAAAATACCTCTCGTATAGTCTCGGCTTTTTTCTTTTCTTTTTCCCCTACCGCAAACCGTGTCCATCATGGGATCAGACGCCCGCAAAGGTAACGCGACTCTACGAATGCGCGACTGAATAGGATTAACCGTGGCTTGCAGGCGACGATGGCACGATCAAAGTCGCATCGAAGAACAAGAACGGCCGAATAAAGCTGAAAAAGCCTGCGCCAAAGCACAGTAAACCCGGAAATTGGAGGGATGGTGGTGTTATTGAAGGTGGTATGTTTCAATGTCGCATCTTGGCCACGATACCAACATGACTAATAATATCAAGACAAGAAGAAGAGCGGCATCCCCCCTGAGGCTGCGCTTTCTCCAGGTCCTGTAGTCAACGAACTAGACGAAACATCCCGCGAAACATTTGCGACAGGGCGGCCGCTTGAAGATAGTCCTGATCTCCAACAATGCAAACACTGCAAGAAGAGCGTGCTGAAGACGGCTGCCAAGGCACACATTGCGCAGTGCCTACGGTTAAAGAAAGAGAAGGCACAGAGAAAAAAGGAAGCCCGCGAAGCCAGAGAAAGAGCAAAGGAGGCAGCAAGGCAAGAAGAGCAGCGGAAAGAGGACGAAGAAAATGGCATAGAACGAAATGACGACGATAGCGATGACGACGCCATATCGGCCGAAAAGAAGCCCACCGGAAGCAAAACTGCCAAGAAGGCTGCTGGGAAGAAGCCAGAAGACGATAAAAAGGGGAAGAAGCGAAAAGCTGATGGAGACCCAGACAAGGGGCCAAAGAATAAGAAGAAGAAGGATGAACCTAAGGCTAAAGTTCTCAAACCAAAAGGTAAGGCCCTCCAGAATTCGACACAGGGAAACTATATTGACACCATCATCAGGACCTGTGGACGTAGAACGACAATGTGGTGTTCTGCTCGCCAACGGGCAGCCGTGCGCGAGATCACTGACATGCAAGAGCCACAGCATGGGCGCCAAACGTGCAGTTGCCGGGAGGTCTCTGCCATATGACATGCTTCTTGCTGCTTACCAGAAGAAGAATCAGGCAAAACAGCAGAGTAGGTTTTCGTTCTCACCCGTATCGTCACGCAAGAATGCCCGGCTTACAAACGTTCTCACCCACAGAGGCAGCACTTGACGCCAACGCTCCGATAGAAGATGAAGACGAAGCAAATAACGGACCTGTCGACTCGGACGAAGAAACAACTGCTGTAATGAGTGCATTATCACAATGGCGCCCACAGCCTTTAATACCGCAGCCCACTTTCACACCTATAAAACGGCAATACCAACTTGCGAGACTACATGAACAGCTTCAGATGGCTACCAATAGTGGGAGGACAAACATTTTCTCCGTCACTGGTTTTGGGACGCAAAGGCTACCTGAAGGTCATCATGGATTGCAACCAGCCGCCGAAGATGCCCCAGGAGAAATGGATCTTGGAGTTGCGGGTTTTGGCAACTCGAGCAGGACGACGGCTTCTTTTACACCTCAGAGGCAACCATCCGTTTCGAGCAGGGCATAGAAGCCTCTGCAAGACTTTCAGAGATGAAGACGAAGCCGTGGTCCCCTCCAAGTCTTTTACAGAGGCCTACGAAGGAAACAAATGTATGTTTTACTCTTGCAGCACAACAGAATATCGAGTACAGCAAGCACCAGATGTGGCAAACCTCCACTATCAATGTGCAAATTCTTTACTTATATTGTTTGTCGTACCTCGGAACTGGGTCACATGCGATGAGATTAGCGAGTTGTCGCGCCGAGGTCGAGTTATGACGTAAATTCGGTAGCGCGCATCGTTCATAGTTGCGACTCATGACACTACTTTGTCTTGCTGGCAACTCATCTCCCACACATGCAACTACGTTTGCCTCCTGGTATTTACGAAGCTTTCCTGGGGCATTGGATCATCATCACAGTCTACAAATCGTTCCAATGTCATCTCAACAAGTCCTCAGCGCTCTTGGCCATGCCGTGTCTGGCTCAGTGGGCACAGCCATATCAACAGCATCTTTGTATCCATTGGACCTTGTCACAACCCGGCTCAAAGCGCAACGCAAGAGCTGCGACTCCCTGGGTAATTACGATGGTGTAATCTCCGCTCTGAGAGGAATCCCCGCAAACGAAGGTGGGCTCAAGGCTCTCTACAGTGGAGTAGGACCAGACGTAGCCAAGTCAGTCGTGGACAGTTTCCTTTTCTTTGGCTTTTACAACTACCTACGGCCTCGGCATCGGAGACCCAGTGTCATCGAGGAGCTCCTCGTTGGAGCGATCGCAGGTGGTTGTGCCCGAGCTTTAACCACGCCCATTTCCAATGTTGTAACAAGGAAACAGATGCTGGGTAGTGACAAGTCTTTCATGGGAATCCTCTCTGCAATCCGAGAGGAGAATGGCTTGATCGGCCTCTGGTCTGGTTACTCAGCTACTCTGATTTTGACTCTCAACCCCAGCATCACATTCTTTGTCAATCGCCGGCTTGCAGCACGCATTATACCAGCGCTTGAAGAAGAGGACATCCCAGTAGCATGGATAGCCTTCTTAATTGCCGCCACAAGCAAAGCCAGTGCTACAGCTATCACATATCCTTTCCAAACAGGCAAAACCCGTCTCCAAATGGCGAATGGCACCGCCCAGTCAGCAAGGGAAACCCCAGAAGATGGAATGTCAGGGCCTGAGCATATGCTGAAAAGGATCGTTGAATTTCTGAATCAGTCCATATATGGTGTCATCATTCGTATCATCACAAATGAGGGTGCAAGAGCATTGTACGCTGGACTCCAGGGCGAACTGCTGAAAAGCTTCTTCAGTCACGGGCTCACAATGCTCACCAAAGGTGTTATTCATAGATTTGTTCTTCGTGTGTGGTTTATGATGTTATTGCCTCACCTACGACAAAGACGACTGCGGATGAAGTAACAAGACATATAGTTGGTGAGGGCTCAACACTGAAAAGCAACGCTGGATCGCTCCACAGTATTGCCCCCATGAGCTGAGAACCCAGTGCCTTCGGACTGGAGGGCAACCAGACCAGGCACTAAAGAGTTCGGGGCAGCACCTTGTGTCTGTGACGTAGAGGTCAAAGGTGCGTCGCAGACGTAACATGTTAGTGGTGTATCGTCATCGGAGGATGTCTTCTTGGAAGGCTGAATCATGAACTGCTTAACGCAGCTGTGGCACAGAACGTGACCGCATTGTTTGGCCATCATGGGGTTGGATGCGTTGGTGAGCAGCTTTAGGCATGAAGGGCAGGCTCTTTGTTTGCCTTTTGGCGTTTCCTCTTCAGTGAAGTTGATTGTAATGAGATTTTGCATTGTGATGGGGTGCGGGTTTTCGTTCAAAGATGCTGGACACGTTGGAAATGTCTTGTCCTTCTTTACCACCGGGAGGAATTTGCTCGATTGGGCATCTGGTGTTAGTGATGGGGTCCAGAACGATGGGAGATGCGGTTTCGCAGCCTGTACAATAGTGTTAATACGGAAAGCTGAAGTTTATATGATCGGACTCTCATCACCTTCTCTTCTTCCAGCGCTCTTCTGGCCTTGGTTTTGTCCTCACGTGCAATGCGATCTAATTCGTCTTTATCGAGCTCGAACTTGCGCTTCGTCGCTGATACCAAAGCGAGAGCATTAGATTCATCGGTTGTTGGGTCTGGTTTCTCGTTATCCGTTTTATCCGCATCCCCTTTCTTCTTGCGATCCAGCCCAGCTTGTGTCAACTCAAAATCCTGAATCGCGCGCGCATGATCCTGTTCATCTTCGCGTGCCCTTTGCTTGGCGGCTTCGTCGTCTGCAGCAGCACGGGCCTTTTGAGTGCGCTTGATGTCCTTTTTCTGAGCAAGGATGTTGGAGAGTGCGCATTCGCGACAAAAGATGTCGCCTCGACGGCACGAGACCGGGTCACGAGCGATATTGAGACATAGGCCGCAGGAACCGAACGGGAGGAAGGAGTCGCGGTGTAGACGGGCGGATGATGATGACCAATGCGACTTTGCGAGGGCGCGTTCGTGAGATGTGAAGACGGGGCGTGAGGTATTTCGTTTGCCTGTGGAAATTGAATCAGTATAACTGATGTAATAAATTGTGATGGTGTTATAGGCGTACTATGCGCTGACACCATGATTTGTATCTAGCAGTGCAGCGTTACGGTGACGTTGAGAGCTGCTGGTAAGGAAAGAGAGTAATCCTCGAGTTGTATGACTGAGATTCGAAGCGGTTCAGATTTGAAGTGATAAGTCTCCTGGCTTCAGGCAGGGTAAGTTATTGACTATGGAATGGGATGCTGGATGTTGAGAGACGATTGAAGAGGTATGTAGAAATTCGGAGCAAGAAAATTGATGAATTTTCGACTCTACTCTATGAACTTACCAAGGTATTATGTCATTCTACAGGGTACCTACCTTAGTACCTACTGCATGGAAGGATGGAAAGAAAAGGCTCCATGTAGGTGGGGTCTTTAGCCATGAAGCCGCTTCTGTCCGGGATCAAGAAATACTGTCTTCCTTCTACTCGACGAGTGCTTCTCTGCCTACATTCCGAATTCCGATACTATGCTTTAACGCAGCTTGCCAGCTGTATAAATTATGTCGGATCATGAACCTCCTACGCAGCCAAGTCTGCCGTGGCGCATAGCCTCAGCGGCTGTCATGGGCACAGTTGGCGGGCTCTCAAGAGGGTTTATGAATGGATTCAACGACCTCAAAGTCACAGGGCTCGATGGACTCCTGGGTGTTCTCGATCGTCGGAAAAGGGAGGGACGTGAGCGTGGACTGCTCACCGTGTGCAATCACGTCGCAGTGTATGTGGTAATTTGAGATGGTTTTAATGGGTTTGGAAGCTAACTATGGTCATTTTATTGCTGAACAGACTTGACGATCCTCTTATATGGGGCATCCTACCGTTACGTTACTTCTTCGACGCAGTCAACATGAGATGGGGACTCGGCGCTCACGATATTTGTTTCAAGAATAAGTAAGTTTGCAAGTATGTAAACAAAATCGAAAGCTGGCTGACAGACGGACAATAGGTTCACATCCACCTTCTTTAGCCTGGGACAAATCCTTCCCACGCACAGATTGTGGTATTCCCCATATGGCGGTTTGTATCAGCCAACCATGACCCAAGCCATTAAATTGCTGTCTGGTCCCTCGCCAGCCTCGTGGTCAACAGCTTCAGACTCTCCGCTATCTGCGACTCCTACTTCAACACGGCCTCCTCCTGTCCCTCAGCCACCTTTCTTCTCAACCAATGGCCTCGACCAGTTCCCGGCGCCGTCTGCTTACCCTGATTACCGAAACGCTTGGGTTCATGTCTTTCCTGAAGCTTGTTGTCACCAGAGCCCGGACAGCGGCCTGCGCTACTTCAAATGGGGCATCTCTCGACTAATACTCGAGTCTGATCCTGCTCCCGAATTCATCCCCATGTTCGTGCATGGTACTCAACATATCATGGCCGAAGACAGAGGGTGGCCGAGATGGGCGCCACGTGTTGGGAAAACGGTAAGAATAGTGATAGGCGAGCCAACTGACGTTGACCAAGTCTTTGGCCGCCAGCGAGCTGCATGGCGCAAGCTTGTTGCAAAAGGGGATCCAGAATTGCTTCGGGACAGCCCGGAAGCTGCCGAGTTGAGAATCTCAGTGGCCAAGAGAGTGAGAGATGAAATCGAAAGGTTGCGAGAAAGCCTGGGGTTCCCAGCTGAACAAAATGAAGCACCGGCACTGGCAGAGACGTGGGCCAAGGACCCTCTCCAAACAAAGTTCAGAAGCCCTGTTGACGGAAGTCTGGTCAACAGACATGGTCCCAAGAAATGAAGCCCATTGTGCATAAACCATACGTTTCGCTTATGTATAATGATGGACCGGGGAAGATGGGTGACTCAAGCTCCTTAGACTACACGACATTAGTTGCTGACACAAGAACATTGAATGATAAGAAATCCTGACACCAGATACGCTGCAGCCCCCAAAACTTGATATCATTCTGCTCCCCATCTAACTCATATTGACCCCAAACTCCGTAGTGCTTGCAAAGCGCCACACGACACTCCCGTATGTTCCTAGACAATACTGAAATACGGAAACAACCAATCCGATCCAAAGAGATTTAGCAGATGCGCCTTCGGCGGCAGGCCGAGGCATGTGAAAGTCGGCTGTGAAACAACTAGTATGTGTCGAAGCCTTGGCTGGGGACAGCTTGAGAGTATGCACGAGCCTGTGCCTGGAGAGCCTGCTGCTGAGGGTGCATCAGTAGGTCGCTGAACCAAGCGTGCTGAAGGGCCTCGTGTGCACTGATCCTCAACTCCGGTCGAAGCTGGAGCATTCTTTGCAACAGGTCTATACCAGTTGGATCAATCGCCGGGAGGATGTTTCGAAGATCCTGGGTAGCATACATCTGGAAAGTTGGCTTGTACTCAGGGAACGAGTTGATTCCTGGCCAGGTACGTTCTGTCGGCGTTCCCATGATGCGGAAAATGCGAATGATTTGATCTTCATTGGTGGTTCCGGGAAACAAGGGCCGCCCCGTAAACATCTCAGCCATAATGCAACCGGCCGACCAGATGTCGATGCTGGTGTTGTATGTACGGCTGCCGAGTAAAACATCAGGGGCGCGATACCAGAGAGTAACGACTTCATTTGAGAAAGTATTGACAGGAATACCAAAGGCACGAGCAAGACCAAAATCACCAAGCTTCAGGAGGCCCTTGCTGTTGATCAGCAGATTTTGAGGCTTAAGGTCACGATGAAGCACACGATTCTGGTGGCAAAAGTCGATGCCTTTGAGTAACTGGTACATGAATGACTTGATGGTAGTGGGTTTGAGGGCACCGCGGTCGCCATGTGTATCCATGTACCTCTTCAGGTCGCCATCCATATATTCGAAAACAAGCATAAGCTTGTTCTCAGTATGAATGACATCGTGTAGGCCGACGATGTTTTCGTGCTTGAGTTCCTTCATCAACGAGATCTCCCGAATAGCGGTGGACGGGGTGCCTTCTTCGGAGTCGAGGTGTATTTCCTTGAGTGCGACAAGCTCTCCGGTCTGCCTGTTACGGCCCTTGAAGACAGTAGCATACGTTCCCTCACCTAGCTTCTCGAGCTGTTGGAAGGAGCTGGGATGCCGCTTTCCGTCCATGATAGAGATGAACGGGTGGAGGTCTGTATTCGTAACTGGGGCGAGAGGAGGTAGTTGGGTTGAGAGTCGAACACAGAATAATGGATGGTGTGCCACCGATCCAGACTGAAAAGCAGGTAAAAGAGTGTCGGAGGCTGGAAAGATGTTTGAGCTTGTTTGAAACCCGAATTAAATCCAAATCCGGATCCAGATCTGGCTCTGACTCTGACGAGGTTATAGAGGGAGAATCAAGAAAGGATACCTAAGATAAAAGTGGGAGTGAGTCCGCTCCTGATAGTCGGGGACTGACTAACTCGGAAGAAAGCTGCTCCTTTCCAGGTTGGCCTCACTTCTCGGTGTCGCAACCTCTCTGCTTGTGTATATAAAGCGAACCCGCAGATGAAGGTCGAAGATGGATTGGTAGGTAGTTTATTCCAAAGTTGATAAATGATGGTCTCGTTATCGCCGTCCGTATCGTAGGTACATACCTAGGTAGGTACCCTAGGGAGGGGAGCTTTGGAAGGGAGGGGCTGAATAGGTGGGTAAGAAAGCGATGGACTGGATGGGATCGACAGAAACGGACGCGCTTCTGATCAGAGACACCAGGGGCTTGAACTGGTAATTGGTGGGTGTCAATCCATGTCACGGGTCACGAATAGTGTGTTCATCTTGTCCACTGCAGATGCGTGACCCACTGATTACCTACAGTCGGTACATGGACCCCTAACCCGACTTCGGTTGACAGTGGAGGTTATATCTACCTAGGTAGGTAGGTACTTATTAGGTACTTTAGTACTGTATTGCACCTACTTGCATTGCAACTCACCTTTCTTCCTTTATCATGGTCTATCGTCATCGAGCTGCAACATAACAACCCGCATCTTCCATCCCTTGAAACTCCAATATTTATTTGTTTAGTTTATCTTGTCTTGCTAATCGCTCGAGTTGCTGCAACATCGAATCCTCCCATCTGGCACTCGCTCTGCCACTACGAGGCGCCCCTGTGCTCTCCCTTTCTTTCCTTGTACAAGCCTCCACTCTCAACACAGCAATGAGACCTGTCTTGCCCGCGAACCATCCTCTTAGTAGCCGTTCCCCAGCTCGGCCAGACAGCTTGGTGCGCAGTTCTACAACTGTGTCTACTACTTGTTTCATTACCTCCGAGGCAGACCTCGACGCTCGCCGAGATCGCTCACGTCCTCGCTTTCGCCAGCAGAGCGATCCTCGCAAGTGTGGTCACAACTCGCGCCATCCATCAACCCCACGTCAACGACGTTCGTCTCCTCGCGCATTCAGCAAGCCTACGTCGCCCACGTCAGAATCTGACGAGTCGGAGGAACTAGTTGTTGGACAAGACTCTTTGAATTCGCTATCCCGGCCGAGCACTCCATCTTTAATCGGCCTTTCGCATTCCGGTTCCGTCATGAGCATGTCCTCGCAAAGCTTCTCTCTCGCGGGACCCTCTGCAGATGCTCAAAGTGATTTGGTTTATGGCAATGGCAATGGCAATGCATCACTATCCATGTCAGATCTGGCGAATAATGAGGTCTACCAGAACACCACGATACCTCAACTCATCATGCCTAGCTTAACAGTTCCTCGGCGCCGTCCCTTTTCTGAAGTGGGCAAGTCTTTGGGCAAACTGAAAATTATGGTTGCTGGACAAACCGGTAAGTAGCAAAGTAGGCGTGATTCGAATCATATTTTAATCTTAACTTTTTTTTATTTGGTAGGTATTGGCAAAACTTCACTCATCAAAACTTTGGCAGAACATTGCGAACACATCGTACACATGGATCCTATAGAGAACCGCAATGCAGTACATGCTACGGAGACGTACGCCAGTTCTCGTCCCCAGCCCTGGTGGCGATCTGATTCGGAACTTACTGTAACAACAAGAAAGCGACTTCCCACCACCGGCGATGTCCTAGACAGAAACGTGTGTTTTGTGGAAAGTCCAGGCCACGAACACGGTGCCTCTGTACGTGACCTTGTCTCAACCTGATATTCCCGTATGCTAACAATACAACAGGGGCCCTGGCGTGATCTACATTACGTCGAATCCCATTTGACGTCCCTAATGAACAAACCCATGGCTGACTCTGATCTCTTCACTCTAATTAACTCTGGCGGCGAGCCAGTTGTGGACATTCTACTTTACCTCATTCCTCACAGCGGTGCGTCCATTCACCATTATCAGATGAGGCCGACTAACATGTTACCAGGCCTCGGACAACAAGATGCAGAGTATATTAAGCGTGCCCAACGCATGACAAATGTTATACCTATTCTTTCCCGAGCTGATCAGCTCGATTCAGAAACAGTTGCGCACATCAAGCAACAAGTTGTGAAGTGTCTGGACGATGCGGAAGTTGACTTCTTCTCCTTCGAAGGCCCTCAATCGCCAAAGGAGTTGCACTGCGTGTACGCTGTCTCTACCGCATCCCGACCGGATTACGACACCATGGATGCCAGCGTCCTTATGAATTCGGATTACATCGCGCCGCTTGTCCCAACCGATCTGAATCGATTGGTCGATCATATCTTCTCTTTGGATGGCAGCGCTCGACTACGCCATTCCGCAGCTGTTAAGTGTATCAATTGGCGTCGTGACCATGGCGACAATCTGTTACAAAACGCTTTATCGAGTGGGACTATGGTTTCAAGATCTATTCCCGAGAGGGCGTTGAGATTAAGGTCCTTCAGGAGAACTCCAAGTTGGGACCGATTGGAACTCTATAATTGGGCAAACAATCTACGCCAGAGTCTTCAGTCCGAGAGGCTCTATCACTTGATGGAAGAGAGGGCTATTTCAAGTGCTGCTGCAAGAGAATCTAGTCTTGTTCATGTTGCTAAAAGTCGCAAGCCAACTCGTTCTAAGAAACGAAAGGACCCAACGCCAACTCACCAGGATCCACTGGGCCTCCTAGACATAGGAGGAAGTCTCAAACAGAAAGGCATGCTTGCACTAGAAATGGTCAGTAGCGTTGGGTTGGTTGGGCTGGTAGCCTCTAAAATCGTTCACACCGGCGTATCTGGCGGAATATGCTCCGTTGTGGAATCGAGGAGAGGCGGCATGGAGGTTGGTCGGCTGAGTATGGTTCTGTCCTTTTAAGGTGGAGGATGGGAGGCAATTTTATAGACCTTGATGGAGGACGAGTGCGCTGGCTGTTGTCAAGACAAAGTTATATCAGGGGGGAACGCACGGCGTGGATCAACTGGGTGATATACAAGTAATTACAAGATACCCCGTGATTTGCAGAATTACATGTTACGAATTGGCTGGCTATGCAGATTAACACAATCATGAACCGGGGTCTGGGATAGTCCCTTGTGTAAATGAGCGGTGACAGTCTGTTTCAAAGATGATTTTTTTTATATAACAAGCTAAGGAGTGCTTGTAACGGAGTTTAGGTTAGTATGCTTTGCTTGTGTCAGCCCATACCTTAGTGATCATGCTTCGGACGGCGTTTGTCCACGGGAGGAGGAAATCCGAGGGCGGTCATGGCCGCCTTGAGATCAGGCAAATCGTCTGCTGTTCTCGCCACCTGCGCCCAGCGAACAGTCCCATCGCGGTCGACGGCGAAAGCCCCGCTCGTTTGCCATCGTGAACCGCTCTCTGTTGGTCGATTCCAGATGCCCTCGTTCTTCCCAAGGCTGAAGACATTCCACATTGTGAAGGGGTTCACAGCATGCCATGTCGATGAGATACCTAAACCCCAGTTGGCGTATAGATCTCGCTCCTCGTCAATGACCATGTCAATGTTCCAGGTGCCACCAACTTGAGGCAGCCATCTGTCGGTAGCTTCTTCTGATGAGTGGGAAACCGCGATGCAGTGCACACTCGGGACCTTGTCTGAGAGGTCGGCAAGAGATCTAAAGGTTTTTTCCGCGACTTGAAGGGGGGGGAGAAACAGAATGTTAGCATGGAGAACCAAGTCAAATGGACAAGCTGGATCTGTTACAAGGACATCCGCAGTGACGCAGGAACACTACCAGTGTAGGTTTTCCATCCGGTAGGCGAAGACGTCGAGACCACGGCGCTTTAGCTCCAACTTGAACTTGAGGGCCAACTTGCTTAGCGATGGGTGTCTTCCATGAGTCGAGTTCCTTCCAGAAGCCAGTGTTTACATCATCAGAAGCAGTGGCAGCAGCAGTGTTGTTGGTGGTGGTGGTCTCTGGAGGCATCTTTTGTCGAAACTTTATTTGTTTTGTTGTTGTTGTTCTTCTTCTTCTTCTTCTTCTTCTTCTTCTTCTTCTTCTTCTTCTTCTTCTTATATCGAATAATAGATAGGTAGTTACGTAGTCACGTAGGTAGGTATCATTTAATGTACTGTAGTGTCAAGTTCGGCTGGTGTGGATGTCATGGATGTCTCGTGTTAGATGCATCGCCAATGACATAATACACACTTCCATAACCGGCACAATGGCCGACATTTCAATGATCGGCCCTGAAAAGCATACAAATGCCTCAACAACGTTTCAATTTATTGACTCGCTACATCATTTTCAACATCGTCTCATTAGAACATAACAGGGTTCACATGAGCATGGAAGGAAGGAAGGGAGGGAGGAATCTGGTTCATCTGATTAGATAAGCTTAGGGTATGATGATCCACTCGCCTCATCAGATATCTAGGGTAATTAACTCTAGTACTACCGAGACTGAGGTACTAGGCATCGTTACCAGGATTAGGTTCTTACAACTATTTCCATAATTGTTGCGAGGGAGCCTTCACTTCACTACTTGGCAAAAGAATTTCCTCATGCGTGAAATCGTCACTCTTCAGCTGGGTCAGCTGAGTAATTACACGGCTACTCACTTCTGGAACACACAAGTAACCAACTCTTCACACAACACTACCAAACTAAACCATGACTGACTAGACTTGAGGAATCATACTTCACATACTCTGATAATGAGAAATCTCTCGTCGATCACAATGTTCACTGGCGCGCCGGTATAGGGGCTGATGGTTCAGAAACCTTTCTTCCACGAACAGTCATATACGACCTCAAAGGCGGCTTTGGCTCGTTACGCAAGATCAACGCACTCTATGAAGCAGAGTCAGAATCCAACCCAGAAGCACTATGGTATGTATCTGAGTAGCGAATACATTTTGCCATCAACTGATGAGGTACTGACTCTTCTTTAGGTCAGGTCAATCTGTTGTGCATAAGCAGACGCCTATTGATCCCAGCGCATACCAGCAGAGCCTCGACGCGGGCACTGACCCTGCCCGACTTTCGACTTCAAACGTGAGATACTGGTCAGACTTCTCTAGAGCCTTTTTTCACCCCAAGTCGTTGGTTCAACTCTATGATTTCGAGCTCAACTCAACAACCATGCCATTTGAGCGATTCTCTATGGGGACAGAACTTTTCTCTATGCTCGACAAGGAACATGAAATCGTGGACCGCGACTTCAGGCCCTTTGCAGAGGAGTGTGATCGAATGCAGGGGATACAAGTTTTTACCACCATCGATGATGCCTGGGGCGGTTTCACTTCTTCATATCTCGAGTCTTTGAGGGATGAGTTTCCAAAGACAACCATCTGGACATGGGGTCTGCAAAGCCCCTCGCTCGATATTTCCAGAGCTAAACGCCAGCTTCGCCTCGCAAACACTGCTCACAGCATAGAACAACTCTGTACACAAGCGTCCACTGTTGTTCCTGTGGCCCTGCCCGAAGAAGACATGTCAACCGCAGTGTCCATAGATCGTCACTCACCCTGGCACACATCGGCTCTTATGGCGGCAGCGATAGAGACTGCCACCCTGCCTTCGCGTCTCACACAGAACTCCTCGGAGCAACCAGGTTCACTAGATACTTTGGCCGAGAGCCTGAATGTCAACGGCAACCAACCCCTAGCAAGCATGCATATGTCTCTGGCAACTGTGAAAGATACGCCAGAAGATAGTCGCATTAATGTTGATTTCTTCCAAATAGGGAGGACTTGGAGTAGGCAGCACATCGCCAGGCTTAACACTTATAAGCATGTGTTTGGAGAAATCCTATCTTGTCGAGATATTGACCACCTGGAGCATGAAGATGACGATACTCCTCGATACCTCGCTCCCGGGGAACGTCCCGCCATAGGAAGCTCGATCGTACGCAAGTATGTCACTTTTGATAATCGTGCTTGTTCAGAAAGTACATGCTAATAACAGATAAGGTATGATTTAGCTCTACGATTCCCTCTACTGGACGCCTACCCAAATATTTACCCCCAGCTGGCGGACCATTCCGACGCCAGTGTGCAGACTACGCTTTCGACCAACAGCTCAATGGTGCAACGTATCAGGGCATTGCGGACAGGTTCTGCCCGTCTGGTGCCGGTCAGTGAGAGGGAGGACCTTGGCAACGGCTTAGCAGAGCTAGCGGATGCTTATCAAGAGGGCTGGTTCAGTGGTAGTGATGACGACGACGACGACTTGTAGAAGTGCAAGTAGCGAATTGACTAAGAACTTACAGGATTTAGAAAAGCCGCGACGGTTGGTCGCTGCACTGCAAACTCGATCAGAATTGAAGCGCAATCCAGAGGCTCACACTGGCCCCTAAAAGTTTATATTGATCTAGCAAGGCCATGTTCCTAAGTACAGATGAAACGTGAAATTAATCAAGGATTATAGCTTTAAGAACTTGCTGTCGAGACGGCTCCTAAGCTCGTACCGTGTCACTTTGGCCACATGCTTGTCTGCACACTCCGCGTGCTTCTGCTGATATTAATATAGATTACTCGGTCTTCCATTTGTTGTAACGCCGCCGGTAATGCACTGATAGATCGGATGCGACTGCCAACTTACCAAGTTGATGCAGTTCAATCCAGAAGAAAGTATGCCTTTTATGTCTTTTTAAGTTAGTGTGGTTGTTGGTAAACAGCCAAGGGCCAAGGGCTAATCGCCAAGCCTCATATGAACTTGCCGAGTCATTAGATATTGTGCGAAGTGCACATTCAAACAACTGTTCAAGTCTTTCGAGTCGTTCGTCTTTTCGTGTCCGAAATATGCAGAGATTCTCAGCCCGCAGCCGCAACTGAGGATTGTTGTCTTTTGGCAGGGGGCGGTGTTTCCTGAACATGGCATTAGTATGTTGTGTCGAGTCGGAGGACATGCCACAGGAAGCAGCGCAACCTCGCCGGCACGGAGAATTCGCGTGGTGACGCATAAATACCTCGGGGGGTCCGCGTTTTTTGGTGTTTGCTGCGCCCTTAGCTGCAGACTTCTTCTGGGGCTTTTTCTCGCCGTCCTCGAATACATCATCAGGAAGATTGAAGCTATTTCAAAGTCAGCAAGCCAAGGTGTGCCAGAGTCTGGAATGTCAAATGTATAACTCACTTTCGAACGTGTTGAATGCCGATAGATACTATGTCTTTCAATTCATCCTTGTACTTTTGCCATGAGGTGCAGAGTTCTTTGAACTCCTCAACTTGATAAGAGAGATCAAGCGATTTGGCGCCTGCAGAATTAGTGTCGTACACCATCAAATCGTTGTAAAGCTACAGTACGTACCAGAGGCGAGCTCGAGGCCGATGTAGTGTGTAGTCGTATAAACGTCAGTTGCACCACCTATCACTGGTGCTTCTGAGGGTTTGGCATTATCAGATATCTCGGGTTGTGTAGGATCGGCCTTGATGGGACCGGTATCTTCTGGATGTTCAGATTTGATAGCCAATCTGCTCTCACCGTTCTCAGCCTTGATGAATCTACCGTCCTCCGCAGTTTCAGGTTTGATGGGGTTGCCATCGTCCCCATTTTCAGCCTGAACAGGCAACTCGGCTACTGCAGGCTCGATCTTGATAATAGAAGATTCCACGGTGTTTTCCTTACAGAGAAAGTCAAGACTGCCTTCTTGCACATATTCAATTTGTTTCTCGTTCTGGCATCGATGGTGTCGCTCGTAGCCCTTGTTGAAAGGATGAGCCAGAGCAATGGACTGGTGTTGTTCGAGCTTCTGTACCAACATTCGGACCTTCGACTCGACGTAGCCAGACCAAATTGTGTGGGACTCTTTCGTCTTCGCAGCCGAGATCACCGAGATGTAGTACTTGTAGCCAGCAGTGAAAAACGTATGCTTGACGAATAGATCGCTCCAAGGGCGTTTGCCGCCCATGATGCTCTCAGATATCTGCAGAGCTCGTTTGAGTTCCCGATTGATAATTGTCATTGATGAACGGGTAATATTGAAAGTGGCGCACATTGAAGGATAGGCGGGAGTGATAACTGGCATCAAATGGAACGTGTCGCCTTTGTATAGCTAGAAACGATGAGATTATTGAGCTATCCCTTGGTCGATTGCAAAATCAAACGTACCTTTGGGTTCCAAACGCGGACCGGAAGAGGTCCGCCCTCGATTGGTTTGAGAAGAACAGGCTGCGGCCAGCGCCACTGGCTGATGACCAGAAAAAATCTGTTAACAATAACTGCTGGCGTAGCCTTAGGATAAAGCTGGCAGACACGAGCAACAAGCATTGCCCATGCTACACCACCTGGGAAGCCCATAATATTGGCATAGACAGCGCGCCGTTGTGCCCAAAGTTTAATTGCTCGTAAAGCATTCTTGAAAGTGCTTTGCTCTGGTACCAGGGTAAGAATCTCGTCTGTAACTCGTGTACCATTAAGAGATCGCAGCTCTGCTTCGTCTAGTCCGCGTAACAGGCCCGAATCTTTGAGATCTTTAAAGTCCGGCGCCAACTGTTTTTGGATGATCCTAGAGAAAATCAAGTCAATACTGATGCCAGAGTATTCGAACTTGATGATGGGCACAAAAGCATCAGTTACAACAGCCATATCAGTAATGGCGTCCTTGGGGGCCATCGAGACCAGCAAATCGGGGAAGTATTTGAAATAGTCTTCGCGAGTTACGTATTTGGGTGCGACGATAAGAGTATCAATATCTGAGCCGGGACCATAAACACCAAGTCGATAGCTGCCGTAGGTGAAGACTCTGCCTCTCGCGTTACGGATGAGGACTTCGTTTTTGGGTTCTTTCTCTTGGGCGACTCGACGAACAAACGCATCGCAGATGATTTGAATTGAAGCCAGAACTTCTTCTCTGTAGCCGACATTTTAGACACTGATCCTCAATCATTCGAGACATTTCTACTGACCTTTTGGCCGTCTCTGCAGGGCTCTCAAACGTCTTTTGACGTTTGAGCTCTTCCAAAAGAGCATCTGACTGACGGAGTTCTGCCTCAGTTGGAAGTTGAACAGAGATCGGGGGTGTGACGCCGTATGCCTGCTCGGATGCCATGGTGGCTCTACTGTAGCAAGCACTTTGATCGATGGCGTGTATTTAAAAGTCAGAGTAGAGAGATGGCGAGAGAGCGATGATGAATGAAACGATAACCTGAATCGAGGACAGGCACAGTCGATCGGAGGACAGCAAGGCGAATACGATGGGCTGGAAATCGGTTCAGTCGACGGCGGGTTACTCGTAGAATTACACCTCGTCAGCTTTCAAGCCTCCCCAAGGGCAGTGCAAGGGGGAGAGAGGCTGGGTTCGAAGGGCGTTGGCGCGTTGGTATACTGAGAAATATTGGTGATGGCTGGGTTAGTAAGGGTTAAAAGATAAGACCGAAATAATATTGTCGGTTTCCGCAGAGTGATGGGCGAAGCTAGGATTTTTTTTAGGGAATGAAAGAGTTTCGTTTTGGCTGACTAGAACAAGGCGCCGCGAGGCTGCACAAACGCGATGGTGGCACAGAAAGCTCTTTGGTGCTAGCCTGTACCTAGCAGGTAGGTACGTAGAGTGCAGGCATAAAAAGGTGGATACTGCCTTTTCACCTGTAGGTTGGAGTTGAGAGGTAGGTACGGATACTGTACCTAGGTTGATTTAAGGCAGCGCTATAATTAATTACAATTGCCTACTAGGCTCTACTATGCCCTGATTGGTACTAAACACAATCAGTGTCAAGAGTCCAACAAATTTCTACTGTAGTATTGAGGCTGGGATTAGTCAAGTTTAGGTACTAGGTATGGGCATCACATGCCTTAGTAGGTACCTAGGTACCTATCTAGGTATCAAGGTACGTGACTCCCGTCACGATACTCACTTATTAAGAACAATTGCTCGCCTGAGACGCACCTTCAATAGACCATGGTACTGATTCAACTAAGAGGTCGGGTACCTACTAGTAGTACCTAGCTGGGTCCTAAGATACTAACCTAGGTACTAACAGGTACCTATAAGCAAATACCTACGGGTATACCTAGTAGGTTATCCTCCACTGCTCCAGATTTCGACTGCCCTGCCCTGCCCTCCATTCCCTTATATCCATCCACCTTATTTATGTCTTGCTTTATTTCTGTTTCTTTCCCTGGCACGCCTCCACTGGGTGAGCAATGACGCTGAATCGACAACACAGAGAGGCAGGCGCAACCGTACTAGTGGAACCTGCGGGACCCCCTTACCTGCAATTGATTTCCATATGTACAGTAGGTACCTAGTCAATATGTAGGTACTCTCCAGCGGACTGTCGGCCCCTAGGCCCTTCCTCTAGGTGTCTCGAATTCACTCAACGGGGCGGGGCTCGAATATGCACGAATCGGTAAGGTACTCGTGCCAATGGAACAGCCCTGCCACTCAATGACACTAAATCCAACGCGAACGCGCTACGAGCTTTAAAGGGCATTTATTTGCTGCAGTACCTTAGTCTAGTCGGTTGGGCGATCCAATCCATACCTACGTTGGTTGATTGACGACACGACTTTACTCTAAGGTACCTACTTCACTACAACTTGCCAAACCTCAAGGACACAAAACTTGCATCGCCAGGACCAGGGAGGCAACATTGCTGACAGCCAAACTCAATACACGCGCATCCAAAACCCAATCTGTTTCTTTTTGCTCCTTCAACTCTCGCCATTACGCACCTGTTTGTCGGCCTACGCTATCTAATCTGCAAGGTCTGACTCTGCGCACACCATGCCACCATCGGCAAAGAGAGCCTCCAGGGCTCGTCGCGAACCGCGTAAAGCCGCGACTGCGACTGCGACCACAGCTACTTCACCAGTCGAAATCGAAGAGTCCTCACCTAGTCGCCCAGCAAAACGGCGCAAGAAGGTACGTCTTCCTGTTATCGCCTACACTGCCCTCCGTTCTGCGCCCGCTGACTCTGAGTGTTTCGTTCCTCCAGGTTCTAGAGGACGAAGAAACCCCCGCGCCCAACGATGACCAACTAGTATCGCAAATCACACAGCACCTTCGCAGCCAGGAAGTCCAAGCAAGCAAAGATCACGCCAATGTTATTCACGAGGCCAAGGGCGATGGCGTCAAGGCCTACGCCAAAGTTGCTGCTCAGGATTGGACATTTTACATCACCAAGCTAAATGTCAATATCGGCCGAGCTCCCGAAGCCTCACACAACACGCAGACTGCCAGCTCAGAAGAGGATGAGTCTCATATTCACATTGATCTGGGCCCAAGCAAGATGGTGTCGCGTGAGCATGCTACCATTTCTTTTGTCTCCAAGGACGAGAAGTGGTTTCTTCGTGTCAAGGGCCGTAACGGTGCCAAGGTGGACAGCCAGCCCGTCAAAGCCGGCCAGTCGCACCCTCTCACAAGCGGTGAGGTCGTCGAGATTGGAAATGTCGAGATGATGTTCGTCCTGCCTTCTGAAATCACCCCTCTAACCGTTCACCCCATCTATCTACAACGCGCTGGTGTTAGCGTCCACACCCCACAATCCCGGACATCACGCAGGCAGCCTCTTATTGCACCGGCACCTCCTGAATACAAGCGGCCAGGAACACCACCTTCAACTCAGAGTGCCATCAAGTCACCGGCTACGAGTACACCGGCTGTCATGGTCGGCGCCAATGGCGTTGATTTGAGCCAAGACGAGAATCAGCATATCAAACCACAATATAGCTATGCTCAAATGATAACGCAGGCTATCTTGAATGCACCTGACGGAAAGCTCAATTTGAATGGCATCTACAACTATATCATGAATACGTACGCCTACTATCGTCATCAGCAAGCTGCTGGGTGGCAGGTAAGCCTTGCTGGACTTCCATACCTTCTGATCGACTGCTTACTGTCCCCAGAACTCGATTAGACACAATCTCTCGCTCAACAAATCCTTCGACAAAGTTGCCAGGTCAACTGACGAGCCCGGTAAAGGCATGAAGTGGCAGATTGTCCCTGAGGCGAGGGAGGAGATGGTGCGAAATGCCTACCGTGTCGGTCGTGGCGGCCACCGTGGATCATCCGCCCCCTCATCTCCAAATCAACTTGCCTACATCACACATGGCCCAAGAGACATGGCGTCAAGAGAACCTCCATCGGCTCGTAAGCGACGGGGCTCACCTCCAGCTTCACCGCCCCCAAAGCCGTCCTTGCTTGTTGCTCAATCAACGCCAGATCGATCATTTGGCAGGAGTGCGACTATGACTATCGATGGTAGCCCTTTGCCCCGCCCAAGAAAGACGCCGGCACGAGATTCTTCATTCTCAGTATATAATCCACAGTCTCCTACTCTGACTTCATCATACCTCCAAGAAGACGGGGGATCCTTCGTAACACCAGCTCCTCCTAGGATGCATCCTAAGCTCGCTCCGCCAAGTACAGCCCAACGACCCAGTCAGCACATGCCAACAAGCTCACCAGCACCTTTTTGGAAATATGCAGATATTGGCAGTACACCTCTGAAATCTCTCGGTGGTTATGACATAAGTCCTACTAAATCTGGGGGTATCTTGCCTCCTCAGAGCAGCAGTCCGCCGCGCGGAGATAAGTCTCCTTTAAGTAGCCCGTCTCGACCTCAAAAGTCAAGTCCGCAACCGCTCGCTGAGCCAGGGGAGGTTGAAGAGGAACAAGGGTTTGACCTGACAAAGTGAGTAATTCTTCGTGAAAATATGGGACAAGTGGCTAATGGTTTGATCTAGGGGTTTCCAGAGTATAGGCTCATACCACGCACCGGTTGGGGGAGGTGCCTCCATTTTGCAAGGTCATACGTAGGCCTTGTTTCTTGTTCTGGCGCTGATATTTCTGGTGGATAGGGTCTTGGCTGGTATTTGAACCATGTACATCACCAGCTTTTGAGCGCACATGATATCAGTGCTCGAAGAATGTTTATGACAGTAACGAATGCAACGTGTGGAAGTGCTTTCTCCCTTGGTATAAGAGTACGATGACTAAAAAGAAAGGAGTTTTCAGATAGACATGACAATTGAAAGGCTTCGGTCTTGACAAAAAGACTAGATCATCAGCAACAAGTACAATCGATGTCCGACAGTGTGACCATGGTATATAAGAGTGAAGATCGTCTGGCTCATGGCCAAGAGTAGAGCATTGGATATATGTATATATACAAATTTTTAGAACGCGCCTTTTGATGCAAATATGTGTACACGCGCCGCCATGACCCCCACCTATCCTATAGCCCTTAAATCCATGCCAAGGAGCCTTTTTTATGACCCAGCCATTCACCTGTCATACAAATATAATGGAAATTCTGTACTTTTCCGAACGTCTACATTCACACAACAGTGAGCCAAAATCCCAACCACATACCAGCATCATACAGAATGTCGTGAAGTGTTAGTTTATCGCGCCCCAGCCTGGCCTCGTCTCTTAGGGTTGCCACGGCCAGTACGCTTCTTGGACTGCTGATGTTCACCACCCTCGATGAACTTGATTAGCTCGTCAATGCTACGAGAGTCAACTTGCGAGCCAGGGCCAGCGTGACCAGGGACGACACCACTAGGAACGCCGGGGTTCGACGCATTAGTGTTGAATCGAATGCCAGTACGGAGTCGACGAGCAGCAACGTCCTTGGCATGTTTGGCGATGTTCACAGCGTTCTGAGTGAGCTGTTCAAGCCAGCTCTCGGCTTCTTTCGTGTTCTTGTCGTCAGGTCCGAGCTCAGCAAGGAACACATTATAAGACTCGCGCATACGAGTCACTGCAGCCTTGGCCTCGCGATCTAAAGCAAGAGCTTGCGCCAGTTGGAACAGGAGAGTGGCGGTATTGATCGATTGCTTGCCGAAAACAGACTCGCAGACGCGCAAAGACTCTTCGAACCAGAGTCGAGACTCGTGGTAAGCCTTAAGATGTTGGAGCATCACGGCAGCATTGTTGAGTGTTGTTATAGAGTCTGGGTGGTCAGGACCGTAAATTACCTTCCACATCTTGAGAGCATGCTTTGAGTAAACAAGAGCACCCTTGCTGTCGCCAATCTGATGAAGGAACAGGCTCAGGTTGAGGTAGTTGAGAAGGGTCTCGGCCGAGTCAACACCCACAGTCCGTTCAGCGACAATGATGGCCTTACGGGCGAGATCAACAGCAGCCTCCTTCTCATCGAGCTGATAGTACAGCATAGACAGGCTATTGTATACACGAGCCACCTCAGGATGCAGGATACCATAGATTTGCTCATGCAAAGAAAGAGATTCCAGAAGGAGCTCTTGACCAAGCTTCTTTTGGTTTTGCATGAGTGAGATACGGCCAGCCTCAAGAGCCTCTTCAGCGAGAGCGCTGCGAGGGCATGAATCCTTGATCAAAGGAACCAGGTCAACGATGTCGTCAGGATTGAAGGTATGGATATTGGCAGGGACCGCTGCCTCGGGAGGGGATGTCTCCCGAGTTTTGTTTTTTCTCTTCTTCTTGCTGCCGCCAGATTCCCCGTTTGTCTGGCCATTGACAACAGACTTCTCGGTCTTTGTCGGGGTGGAAGTGGCAGCGGCAGGATCGGCAGTGAAGGTGTAATCTTTGGCCTGGAGCTGGATACCGAGCTTCAATGATACCTCACGCAGGAGCTGAACAGGGCGAACGACATTGTACCATTCATCGTCGAGTTCGTAACGGAATCGTTGAAGGATCTGCTCCTCGATGTTCGTACGCAAACTCTCAGGTGTGACCTGTGTAAATGACCAGTCGGCATCAGTATAAAGGCTGCGGATGTCAGAGTCTAGCTCAGCAACAGGCTTATCGTTGAACCTGTGTCCTAGCAAACAATTGAGTAGGTGAGATAGAGCTGCCGGAACTGCCGGAACTGGCAAGTGGCGGAGGTAGACAGCAGAAATATGCTTGAAGGCCCGAGCGACCATATCTTGGACGCAGATCTCACGGAGGCATCGCAATCGACCATCGCCGGATAGCTCAGCTACCTTGCCAAGGTACCTCACGTTGATGCCGCGTTTATGCAACAGACGGCTCAACGACTGACCATCCATGGGAAAGCTGATCTCAGAATCAGACAATTCTTTGAGCAAATCAGGGATAACCTGTTCGCGGAGATAGATACCCGCTGCCCGAACTTCCTCCTCGTCAGCAGCAAATTCGGCCTTCTCCTCGTCGGTCTGAGGCGACTGTCCACTGAAGGCGTCAGGGTTGAGAGCGAACTTGAAATCGGCGAGGTTGGGTTGGTTCTCATCCTCTTTAGAAACCTCGTTGCCTTCGCTCTCCGCAGTCTGCTCCCCTTCGCCAGTCTTCTTGTCTTCCTCGACCTTCTCTCCTTCAGATTTCTCCCCTTCCTTCTCCTTCTTCAGCTCTCCACGACGAGCAACCTCCTTGTCGATCCACTGCTTCAGCCGATAACGTGAAAAGGAGTCGACAAGCTCAGGCCGGAGAACGGTCATCCGGTGAGGGTACGCATCGCCATCTTCAGGGAGACCGTCTTCGTCCAACCAAGCAATATCCAGAGGGCTGATGCGATATAAGTCCAGGACATACTTACGGGCATCGGTGCCGAGCAAGCCTTTGGTCTCTACACTGGCCTCCAAGTCAAATCGCTTACCGTCCTTGTCCCAAACAGGGTGCTTCTTGACCTTGAGAGCCTTAGAAAGCTGGGCAAAGCCTGGGGCAAATCTCTCATCGGCGGCGACAGTGTCCTTGCCGTCTACCGCGCCATAATCGATCTGGTTCTCGCCGGGCTCTCGTTGTTTGAATATTCCAGGAACGATGCTTTGTCCAACGATTCGGCTTCCAAGATAATCAACAACAACGGTAGCGGGGGTAAATAACCCCTCAATGTCTAGCTGATTCACTAGTTTAACACCAGCAACGTCCTTTCCAGTAGCAACACGGGCAGCCTCGTCGCCACCTTCAGAAGTGAAAGTGCCAACACCATCGGCACCAAAAGAGAAGAAGATGTTGTTGTAGACAAAAATCTGAGCATCTCTGCATTCTGTGGGGTTCAGGGGCGCAATTTCGCCACGAGCAACCATAACAGCGCCTCGAGTGGCAGCCTCGTTGTAGTCGGCAAATAGCTTGGAGATGAGTCGCTCGCGAAAGACACGGTCTTGGACTGTCTCGCGGGGAAGCTCCTTGGCGGATTGGAACTCCTCATTCCAATCCCGTAGGGTATCAGTGTTTTCGACACCATTGAGGAGGTAGGTCTCTTGAGATCGTGCAGGGTCAGGGAGATGTGTGCAAAGAGACGAGTTGGGAGAAGGAACCACCCAGGGAGCAGCAGGAATGGCATTGGTGATTTGGAAAGTGGCAAGGGGATCCTTCTGGTTATTGTGATCTTGAAGTTTCGTGAAAGACTCGACGAAAGAGGGTGACACAAGCTCAATCAGGCTCAGCAGAGAGTGAGCAGACTGTCCCTTAGGGGCTGGACGAGGGAAAGGATCAAATTTGGCATTGGACGATTTGTTGACATAGAAGCCCGAGACATGGGAGGTGATCTGGTATTGCTCGCCTTCGTTGGTGGACACAACGAGGTAGAGGAGGTGCCCACGCTGTCGCAGATGAGGTGGAGGAGGGTTCCACGACGACAAGGAGATCTGCTTTACTGTCTTGGGAGCAGGCTCGGAAGTAGGAGGGATCAGCTCAGTGAGCGAAGGCACAGCCTGGAAGTCGTAGTTCTGGATAGGTGACTCCTCGGAAGACTCCTTGTCGCCACTTTGGGCTTCAGCTGCCACAGTCTCGAAAAGGGAAAGCCCTGGAAGTAGACCCTGGGCAGTGTCGCATCGGTCTCCAGAGGCGCCGATAAGTTCCCGAATTCGGATAAAGTGAATCCGAGCTTCTTTCTCGGTATAAGGATCTTGAACGATGTGAAATTCGGGTGTGGTGCCAAGCTCAGGAATTTCGGCAAGAGGGATGAAATCGTTGATCTTCTCGCCGTTGAATTCGAGATGAAAGCAAGTGTACTGAAACGCCGAAGGAGAATCGATGATTGATTGTCGGATCTCATGGACCTGTTCTTGAGAAGAAACCTAGACAGAGGTGAGTCAGAGGTTGATATGGGAAGGTTTGGTATAAGCCAATGACAAACCATAATCTGCATCTTACTGTCATTGGCATCAGGCAAGACAATAGTAAGGTTTATTAACGCTGCTGGACGGTTAGATATCCATGCCGTTTCGTCGGAATCGCTAATCGGAGGGGCAATAATATCTACCTTCGGCTCCGGCTTCGACATCCTGGGCTTCGGCCTCCATACTGGTCTCGGGCTCCTCGGAGGTAGCGGCTATGAGACATATTAGCGTTTTGTTGCATTGTAAAATGGGGAATGGTGATAGAAGTAATAAGACTATGCACCGCGCCTCGAGTCAAAGCTATAGCTATAGAAGAGACGACCTCAGTGATGGAATCGATACTGCAGACGACCCCGGACTTTACAGCTTTGACGAAGGCGGTGTCTGGATTTACAAGTTCAATGCAATTCGTACGTACCGGGCACCTGAGCGGGAGGAGTGGTTTCCGAAGCCATGTTGACAAAATGGGGTTTTCAGAAAGGAAACAATCAAGAGGAAAAGAAATATAGGTAGTGAGGGGGAGAGCCAGGCATGGGGATATGCACTGACAGTCAATTGAACGACGTTGGTCCAAAGGTGTGATGAATTGAATTCAATTGAATGTAGGTCGTGACGGAGGGGAATGGGAAAAAAAATTGGACGGTGCGGTGCGGTTCGGTGCGGCGGCAATGGTCCGGCATTGAGCCCTCTACCTACCAGCATTGGATGTGGATGGAACCCCGAAGCCGGTCCTTCCCCCAGTGGAGAGATGAGATGCTGCCGGCTAAGCTAAGCCAAAAGTGGGAATATGTAAACAAGGTCATCATCTACCCATCAACCATTTCCTTACATCTACGTGCACACAATCATCTAGGCATGCTTTTGAGTATATTTATCTTTTTTTTGTAACGCCGTTGAATCGGAAACCACCAGGATTCTGCTTATCTGTATTTGGACCTTACATATATACCTATCATGAGCGAACAACAACAACATTTATTGCCATCTCCATCCGCACATCGTCTCTTGATGGGCGGGAGGAAACCTTACATACGGGATACACAGATATGGACTGCTGCAAGATGCCAGAGATTGCTACGTCAGCTCCAGTGTCGTTTGGTATCTCTGAGAAAACTGGTTGACGAGGCGCGCCGACCACAAACAACCCAAACGAAGCGGCCAAGAGCCGATGAAGAACTCACGAAACGCCCAAAGCGAACACGGTATACTTATGCGAGACGTCGATCAGTCCTGGTTCCAGAGAAGTCAACTACTTCGTCAAACTTGACGCCGCCACGAGCATTGCGCACTTTAGGTAGCATGAAGATCGAACGTAGTCCGTCAAGAGTTGGACGGATTGACTTTACGACGCCAGTACTATGCAGCTTTGACCAACAGGATCCTACTTTCGAGTCCACATCAAAAGATTCTATGCTCAAAGCGAATAGCCCTACATCGCTAGTCACAGAGTTACAATCGCTTCGCCGTGTCGTTCCTGATAACCAATACCGCATTTACGAGATAATATTTGGTTGGTTAAGCGGCTTGTTGAGCTCAACCGAATCATTGGGTCAAACAGCGCACCCCAAGTCGCTTTTAGGACTATGCCTTCGCAAAGTTCCAGATGCCCTGGCCCTGATAGAAGAATGGGACCGCCAGACTGCAGCAAAGGAAGCAAAGTCGTCGAAGTGGGAATCATCAAAAGCGTCAACAGAGCTTTACGGACAGTTGGAAGGTTTTGGGACAACGAGCATGGGTTGGAAATCGCTAAAACTGGTTGTTCGTGCACATGCTCTGTGTTTATTGACCGCAGCCGTTGCAGAAGGTCTTTTTGAACCTTCCTTCGTACGATTCTTGGCTGATCTTTGTCTCAGCCTAGGATGTAGGGCTGAAGGAGCGCGACTTGTCTCAAGTTTGAAGCTTCCTATAACTGCACCTCGCGGCTCGGCCAGTTCATTGTTTGAGAGTGGTTCGATCCAGCCTTTGGGGCTTATTCTGCGAAGTCTGCAAGGCCAAGGGACAAGCGGCCCATTCTGGTGTTGTCTTTCGACTCTCATCAGGAACAAGAAGCTCTCATTGACTTGGCTTACATCACGGGCATTTCAGCCAATATGGATGCGAGGAATCGAGGTTTTGCTACACAACAGAACCCCTGTAGTCTCAGTCATCGATTTCATTTGCACGGCAATTGACCAGCTCTTGATGGGGGATACCAAAGAGACAGAATCAGAAGAAGCCTCGGAGGATGAGACGCTCATGAATGCGCTAGCTGCAATGGCAGCGGCGACATGGACATTGGGTGCCGAGGTGAGCGTCAACGAGTCGTGGAAAGTACAAGCAGTCCGGCGCATGCTGTTTACACTTGAGACTTGCGTGCTCCAGCAGCAGGGTCGCCGTGGTTCATTTCGAAGTCGAGGCCTTTTCCTTGTTGTTTTAGCTCGATTCATAGCTGCCAGTATGATCGACAGTGATGTGGTCAGTTCGACCACAAGAAAACGTGCGATTCATGACTGTCTGAGACTCTTGACAGTTGGAAACGGCACTCCAACTCAACCACAATACCGGCAGACTCTTCTGCTAGCCTGTTCTGTAGCACAGTACCGAGGGCAGGCCTGTGGCTTGCCATGCCACGACATCTTATCTAAGATTCGAGTATCATTGAATGAACTGGGACTTCCAGATTGGTTTCAAATTGGGTTGGTGTCTGACGGGGCGTTTGTTCTGGCACAGAAAACAAGAGATCTCCGAGACGTCGCCTTTGCCGAAAGGCTTTCTGCTGCTGGCAAGGGAGCCCTAGAAACTAGCACGATATTCTCGGGCTGGCTCTGGGAAGAGGGAATCGGCGAATGGGTTCTGCCCAGCCCTCATCAAGAAAGAAGAAAGCAGCCGAGACAACAAAACCGCCATCGAAACGGAACAGGGTGCCAGACAGGCGAAGATCGACGACCAGATAGTCGAGTCGAGACTGGAAGTCCGCTGAGACGGACAAGGGCTAGCTACGACCGCACTTTTAGGCACGGAATCCACAAGAATAGTTCCTTGGGACGTGACAAGGGTGATTGGGGTCATGATGACACGGACGACACCGATAACGAGGTCGGAAATGATACGAGCGCAACCAGCATTACGGATGATGGTGTCGTCAGGGAAGACAGTGGGGATGAACTTGGTGATGATCACTTGGTCCACATTCCGGCAATGTCGCAAGAGCATAGCTATAATATTCGTAAGAGGAACGAGAGCAGCCACAGTAACAGCGTCAACACAAGCACAAGCACAACGACAAAAACAATAAGAAGGGTGAAGCGGTTGGATGTCACACGGACCTGGCAGACGACCAGGCTTGATCAAGTTGGCCTAGGAGAAACCCGACAAGTTGAAGGAGATACAGATGATGATGAGCTTAGCATGCTCTGCTAACCACTAAGTAGGAACACGACAGGTGGTTTCTTTTCTAGAGTTTTAATTTGAGAGCCTTTTCTTTTCTTCTTTCCTCACCCTTGTAGCAATTTTTAATCTTTTTCTTTCTTCTTCTTTTTCATTTCCTTTTCCTTCTCTCATCTTGATACTCACGCCAGGATCAGTATGCACCTGTTATCAAAGCGTCTCAGTGGTTGTCTCAGAGTTAAAGCGAAGCATATTCATCCGCCTCTCATGGGCCGAGAATTTGGTTACGAGAGCTTCGGTCATGGTGGGGCGAGAGCCACTTGAAACCGCCATTCGATGTCATCCTCTCATCCGCAAACAACTGCTTTTTCAGAAGGGTGATCTGCAACTGGTCCGCAGTATTGGTAACTTACCGCCGAGTTGTTTCGTTCTGGTTTACGTAGCTTGCAACACAGCGCAGCACTGTAGGTTTTTTAAGAGCAATATATGTTTTCTCTTATCTTTTCTCTCCCTCTTAATCCTCAGATACCTACTACTAAGGTAGATGCATGCAGTCTTGTAACTTACAGTAGGTATTGGATCTTAGTTGGTACCTACTAACCTACCTACCTGGGTGCCTTGGAAAGCTGAAATTGAAGAATCCCCCGACAGGCGGGAAACTAAAAAGACCCGCGGGACGGGCAGAGAGAATGGTCAAGACCCGACAATGTTTGCGATTTAATCTAATTACCTGGTTACTAAGATACTAATGTAAGTGACAGCAGAAACCCCGACGCGCTGGTCTTGTTAGTACTGTACATACTGTACGGATACCCGACCTCGAGCAGGTCACCCATCCATACTTTAAGTTTTCTGCTACCCCCTAAAAATGGTTTGGTTTATTACCAGATGTCGGGAAGGCCCTTGTTTCAAGATCCCCGCTGCGCCCCGTGCTTTGAGGATTAAAGATGTCCTTCCGCCACTCGGAGTCGACGCCACTCTTCTCAGGGGATCAGCCATGGATGCAATGCTACATAGACGCTGGATGGGTCTGATAGCCACATAGATAGATGTATGTAATTACTGTACTGCACGGAATAGAAAGATTAAAATTTTCCACCTTGACCTAGGTAATTTATTTATAAATAGAATACTAATGGATTTGCGCGACTACATCATCCGTATACAGTACAGCTGTTCTTCTGTAGGTAGGTACTAAGGTACTAAGGTACTATGGAACGCTAATGCATTCAACGGCGGAGGCGTCCACGTTCCACTCCTAGGCTGGGAGCAGAGCCGCCGGGTAAACTAGCCTCTACTGGTTCTCCAATGACACACTCAGGCCAGCTACCTAGGTAATCTTGAATAAAGTAGATGTAAATCTTGAAACTACCCCTGAGCCCTAGCTAGGCCTAGCTGGCAAGCCCTGGCAGTTGGGCCCCAGCTGTAACAGTGGCATGACCTGCAAACGCGGCCTTGCAATCATCTGCTTGGGCTATGATTGCTGGGGAATTTATGGGAGGGCCCATAAATCTCGTAAAATATCCCTCCCTTGCTGCCGGCAGAACCTCCGCAATCGTTTTTCAAAACCCTACCTTGTCCTGTCTCGTTTCGTCTGTTCTGTTCTACTCTGGCGTGCTTGCTCTTTCACTGATTCTTTCATTCCTAGAAACGGCGTAGGAATTGATTGATTGATTGAATCATTGCCTGAGTGTTTGTTTCGGAACTGGAGCTGGTTTCCTTCCATCTCGTGCATTAGTACATTACACTCACTTCTCCCCTCCGCAACCTTCTGCGCATTCCTTCCTTCCTGCTTTCTTTCTCTTCGCCGCCGCCTTCTTCGACTCGATTCCTCCCGGGGAGGTTTCTCTTTTTTTTTTTTCTC